TGATATTCTTCATATTCTGTGTGGTGGTCAGTTATCAGCAGTTATAGAAAGTAGCTAATCTTTTTCAATGAGTTTAAATAGATTTTTTACCTTTTATGGGCATTTTTACCTTTTATAAAGCCATTTTTTCTAAAATTGTGTATCATCTTTTGAGTCGAATTCCTACATTTAATCAGTCGGTTAGAATAAGACTTTTGGGCTTTTACTAGGCAAATGAAATCAGTATCAACAATTTATCTTTGCAATGCAGAGGAAACACAGAAGCTGCATCTGAAGTGGCATTTAGATGTATTTACACACTGTTTAATGCAGCTCAGAGGGACATGGAATGATTTCACTTACAAATGCAGAAATAATGTTTTGCTATTTGAAATGATTTAAAAAAGAAAAAAAAAGTTTGAAAATAAATGAAATTAAAACCGCCAGTAGGTGGCAGCAAGTCACTGTTAATAAGTGAGTCATTGCTATTGAACCGAATCATTTAAACGGTTGATTCATTCAGGAATGAAACACCGTCATGTTGTTTAGAGACACAGAACAGTGCTGTGGTTCTGTTTGGAATTATTTTTGTAGGCGAAATAGAGCAAAAACAACTGATATGGTGTTTAAAACATAAGTCTCTTAACTTGTTTATTGAACTGTTGTGTTGTATAAAATCAATTTCACATTTGTAATCATGCTGATTTTTGGAGAAAAAACAGCTCTCTTCGTGTGATATTAACTATATGGAGTAATGGATCTATATATATATTTATAAATTTTCTACCCCCATAACTTGAATTTTGTGTTCATTCAAAATGCATTTTAATAGACTGAATCACGCAGTGAAAGAACGCACTCTAAATGCACACTCGCACTAGTCTCGCGTCACGTCACGTATGCGTGCACTCTGTAGGTGTTTTGTTTGTTTTTTTGCAATGTACTCGATAATGTCAAATCGCACGTCGTTAAAACAACAATTATGATATTATCGCAGACGATATATATCGCACACCCCTACAATCACATAATCATTTTGACTTATTATATTAATAGAGTTCGGCAGGGGTTAAATATTTCTGTAGTTCAAACCAGAAGTTAGCATTACCCTGTTTATCATAAAAATGACAAATAAACACAAGTTTTATGAGGTTTGAAACCCAAATGCAGTCGGCAGAAGTTAGGAAATAAAGAACCGTGGTCACTTGACTTCATCATCACCAAGCTTTAGACAACTCTTTTAATCTTTATTTAAGTCTTTAAGTTGGAAAGATTGAATAGAATAGTTTTGGAGAATGCAAGTATAAATACAAAAGGGCCGTAAATCAGACTAGATGAGATTTTCTGCTCAGCATGATGATATTTAAAGTCCCCAAAAGCCTCTAATATTATTTAGCCATTTATTAGCAACTGCCTTTTTCAAGATGTGTAAAAAGCTAAATAAATCACAAGAGGGCATTGCTGATGCTTTTCATGTCGTAGAATAAAAAGTGAAAATATTGTGAGCTTGTGTTAACCACAGAACGTATTTCAGGCATTTCACCAAAACCCAATTCAAAATAAATAAATAAATACTTGGGGACGATGGAACCCAGAAGTTCAGAAATGCTTAACCCTAATTCCTGTTTTCCCTCACTAGAGAAGAGGTAAGGACCCAACGGAACACGTCCCAGAAGTCATCCTTAACAACTTCTCTACTAGACTCGGTCACTCCATCGGCCGGATGTTTGCTGCTCTGTTTCCTCATGATCCACAGTTTGTGGGCCGTCAGGTCGCCACATTTCACAATCAGAGAGACTTCATTTTTTTCAGGTTTCACAGGTAAATAGTCTCATTTGAAAGGGCAGTGTAATTGTGAAAGCTTACATATATGTACGATTTGTTAGTGTAGTCATTGTCACAAGGAGAGCTAAATTTATGATACCTGTTGTGATCAAATTTGTTTTCATCTACAAATCACTGTAGATTCTAAAAACATATGTATGTATGTATTATAGTAAAAATAGAGATATGTTCAGAATATCAAGTAGGGTCCAAAAGTCTGACACTGCTATTAGAGTCCTTATATTTTGCATTGTTACATTTTAACTGGATGGAAATTATATACAGATTAGGAACTTCTATTTCTACATGACTGAATAAACTCATGTATATCTTACAGGTACATCTTCAAGAATGAAAAGAAAGTGGGCATGCAGGAACTAGGACCTCGCTTCACTCTTAAACTTCGCTCTTTACAGAAAGGAACCTTTGACTCAAAGTTTGGGGAATATGAGTGGGTTCACAAGGTGAGTTCTAAATCTAAAATCTCACTTATGAGCAAAATTGCTTGTTTAAATGTGCTTTTATTTGTCAGCAATTTATACTATGTGTCCGTCATGCGTGATTAACTGCTCCTTTAAATGTTTCAGCGCCATGAGATGGACTCCAGCAGAAGAAAGTTCCATCTTTGAGGGACAGAATGGAATCACAGGACAACCGTGTTGACTTTTCATGAATATCTAAAAAATCTTTTGTTATGGAACGAAAGTATTGTAGAAATGCAAGCTTTGTCTTTACTGTATTATATTTTCTTCATAAGAATATTGTAACCAGGCTGGACACAAAGAGACTTGTTGTGTCTCAAAACATGACAAATAAATCAAGTTAATGTATCATAATGCCCTTTTTTCCCATATTTGATTGAAGACATGGGTGGAAATGGCAAATTTGTGGTGAGTGTTTATGTGAAATTTCAGATTAAAAAGACTGATGTCTTGTTCTGTCTTGATTTTGCAATACTGAAGTTAGGACATACACAAAGTACTTTCAGATATGCAAAAAACAAACCCTTGGAAAGACTTCAAACTAAATTCGTCATTGTAGATTTCTGAACTTTGAATAAAAATGTTTTCTAACAGTCTTCTCTGATTCAGTTTTAGCATTTTAAAACATTTTTGTTTGAACCGAACTTGTTTAAATCATCCTATAGATGGAGGAGCTTATGCTGATTATGCTTTACATACACTCTTCATAGCCTTGTGAAGAAGATATGAAAGTTTTTTTTTTTTTCTAATGTATATATAAAGGAAACGGTGGGTTGTTGATTAGGTGTTACAGTTATAAAATTATGTACATTTAAAAACAATTTAAATGAGTCAGTGCTGCACACTTAGAAACCATAGAAGTTTTATTCCTCTGCTAAATGCTAAGTGTAGTATTTATTCATTCAATTATTTGAGTAAAATATTTCGATGGCTTATTAAACTTTATATGTGTGTGTAAATTAAAATATTAAAATCAAGCATTTACAAAAACAACAAACATTCTCTATACAATAAACATTAAAAAGATTAGATCAAACAGCACAAAATGCAATTAAAAAAAACTATAGAAATGTTTTGGGAAAGTGTGTGATGTGAATTATCAAATCAGATCTAAAATAATAAGATAATGTCATATACAGTGGGCCAGAAGTGTCATACATGTTTTTTTTGTTTGTTTTTTATGCAATTAGCATTTTAGGGCACTTATATCAACCAGTTTCTGTAAAATGGTGTTTTTTGCCCAGTTTAGAAATCAAACAAATACACCATCCAAATACTGTGAGTCACTTATCGCCACCTACTGGCGTAACAGTGAAACCTGCAGATTAACAGTCTGTCTGGAGTAAATCAGTCAAAAGTGCCGTATAATATAAAAAAGTTTTTAATATAGAATGTTTTAATTTGCTGTCAATATTATTTTTTTATTTCTATATTTTTTTTTGGATGGATATATACGGTGGGCTATAACAGTGCACATGTTCATATGCAGTGTTGGGGAAAGTTACTTTTAAAAGTAATGCATTACAATATTGCGTTACTCCCTAAAAAAAAGTAACTAATTTCGTTACTTAGTTACTTTTTATGGAAAGTAATGCGTTATATTACTTTTGCGTTACTTTCACGTTACTTTTTAAATATAAGCAGGGCTTGATTGTTTTTAATATAAGAAGTTCTATTTATAGCAAATATAAAAGCCCTTTCACAACAAAAAGTGTAACCTCAGGCTGAAGCAAAAGTAAATTCACGTCTGTACAGTAAACGCAGGAGAAGAAACACTCTTCAGCAATAAAAAAACAAAGCACAATTGTTAGTTTCTCTAAAGTCATTTTTGCTTATTAATATGGTTGAACTGGATCATCAAAGGTCAGCGGCAAAGATATTGGTTAATAAAATGGGATTAGATACATTTGTGTTATTTAACATATTTAATTATTGCAGGTTTGCATTTCACTGTTTTAATTCATTTTGCTGAATACTAAACCTGTTTTTTGTGAGTGGGATGAATTAATGCACATTTAGTCTAGAACTACAGTAACATCATGTTCACACAGCGCACACAATGCCTCTGTACTCCCGATTTCTCCCAATATGGGGACAGGAGAGCTGTCAGTCAATAAATGGGAAAACAAAGTAACTGGCATTACTTATTTGAAAAAGTAACTCAGATATTTTTTAATAAAATGGGATTAGATACATTTGTGTTATTTAACATATTTAATTATTGCAGGTTTGCATTTCACTGTTTTAATTCATTTTGCTGAATACTAAACCTGTTTTTTGTGAGTGGGATGAATTAATGCACATTTAGTCTAGAACTACAGTAGCATCATGTTCACACACAACTCCTCTGTACTCCCGATTTCTCCCAATATGGGGACTGGAGAGCTGTCAGTCAATAAATGGGAAAAGGTAACTGGCATTACTTTTTTGAAAAAGTAACTCAGATATTTTCTTGTAAATTAAAAAAGTAATGCGTTACTTTACTAGTTACTTGAAAAAAGTAATCTGATTACGTAACTCGCATTACTTGTAATGAGTTACCCCCAACACTGTTCATATGTATGGTGGCGTTCACACAATGTCCTGTTCACTGAAGCTCGGGGGGGTTTATGAGCGTCCCGTTGACCCTGGTACTGTTTGATTACTCAAGATAGCGTTACTTAGCACTTCACACTCCCACGCGCACACTGAGATCATCATAAGGTAAATGTGACCATGAGCGGGTTTACTGGCAAGCGGAGTGGAATTACAGAGGTATGTTTATTAAATAACATTTTTAAATGAATAAATAACCATGCCGTTTCAACAACTAATTCTACTTGCATGTCTTGTTTTGATTTATTATTTTTGTTTTATTTTTAATGAAGCGTGTGGAGCTGCATGTGTTTTATGTTCCTGATGATCAGTTTGATCGGAGGTTGAATAAAGTATCAGCTGAAGCTGTGGACACTTTCATCTCAGCTGGATTTATCAGGTCAGTTGCTGACTTCGTCTTCTGGGAGTCTGGAGCTACTTGTCACGGTTTACACTTGTGGATATTCTTGAAAGTTAATTGGTGTTGACCTCAAATAAACTCAATATATTAAACCGTGAACAAACCATTGTTTTAACCAGAAAATTGCGAAAAAATAATATAAACCATGCGTGACAACTTGCCATGAAAATACTCTTGTCCATGAACACAGTTCAACTTCTTGATTAAAATCTACCGTCATCATAGTTTATTCTCGTCTAGAATCTGTGGTTTTATTTATCTAACAGATATTATATGATGATATTGACTTTTTATTCACATAACAATTCTCATCAAATTATCTAAAATAAGAATGAAATAGAATTAACATAACAATGGCCTAAATTAACTTGGTGTTAATTTAGTTTCATATTTCCAGCAAAGTTTAATTCACAAATAAATGTAAAGAGATAATAATAATTCTACCTCCATAGACCTACTCGGTTTATTCAGATGTGAGTCTGTCTGATCTCAGTGCTTTTTGTTTCAGAGTCGATTCAGATGTGAGTCTGTCTGATCTCAGATCTGATCTTGGAACATTTCTTGGGCTGGACAGGATCGCAGATAGATATGTTTTTTTTAAATGTGTTGGCAGAAGTTTGGCACTGGTGAGTAGCTATCATTGCAGAATAATATACAAGTTGGTAAAAATGTATATAAGTGTGCAACCAAAGGCTGGAGTTTATATTATTTATTTATTTATTTTTGCATTACACCAAATCAAGCACATAGTGTGACGATGATGATGATGATGATGATGAGTATGATGATTAAAAGTTTGATTAGACACAGGACATAAATACAATGATTCATTTTCAGTAAAGACAGTCTACAACTGCAAAATGTGAGACTATTATGTAGACAGATGTGTGATGCATAATTGCCCTTGAGTAGCATGGAAAAATATAAAGCTAAAATAAATACCACTTTTTTTCATTTGATCTCAGGTTAAATTCAGACAAGAGGGAGAACTGACAGTAAAATCCTTCACTCCACCATTTGTAAGTGCTTGTGAAACAAAGGCGATCTAAGTTTAGTTTTATTTGCTGTAGTCAGCTGATTTATGCTTCTTTATGCTTATGATTGTTTGTTTATGCTTTGTTTCCTTGACCCCATTAGGCTCCTTTTCCTGAGCTCTACATTTTACCCGTGGGAGAGAATGACAGTTGCCTTTGCTCTAGCTCTCTGACCCCTGATACTTTAATTAGCAACACTGACCATCACAGTCACAATTTGCCCAGACCAACATGTGTGCCTGGCAATATAAAAGAGCCCATTAAATTCCCCTCAATCAATAAAGGACCTCAGCAGTCTGTCCTAATGCAGGATGCAGAGGAGGATGAGAGTGATGAAGACACAGGATCCACTGACACTCCTCATCTAACACACAGTTCGCAAGATCAGATTGGGCCCGTACACAAACAGTCCGGTATGAAATGCTAAGAACATAGACACAGCTGGTGCAACTGGCCCCAGGTGTAGTTGAGTGCATCTGTGCTTAAGTTACAACTTAGCTTTTATGTAAAGGGGCACTAAATTACACCTTACGTACTGCTAACGATTTTTGCGCTGCACCATTAGATTTAGTTGAAACATAATTCTGCATACAAACTAAAAATTTATGGAAGCTTTAAAATGGGAGTAATGGTATTGATTGAATTGCATCAGTAAGCTCATTTTATCTGATAAACTTCCATCGTTTAGACATATATGATAATGTTGGCATTTACACTAACTTACTAAAACTACATTTTAAGAGAGGACATTATGTGAATAAATTACTTTGTTAGTGGCTCTTCAAAACAAACCCAGCCTAAACAGTGCGCCTCTGTGTGCATACGTGTTGTGCATGTCAAGTAATATTATAATTAATAAATGTAATTTCTTACAAGTTTTTTCTTTTGTATCAGTATATATTTATAGATCCTTATTACTTTCAAATCCAATTACTGAATGTTATTGACATATAAAAATACCTATTGTTATTCATGATTAATTAATAACATATTACAATGGAAACACATTTACCGTTTAGGCTAAATAAGTTACAATCAAGTATAAACTAAAATTCAACACAACTTCGGCTCACACATTTAAAGGCTGCATAGGAACATTGAAGGTAAATGTCATATGACTGCACATTACTTCACGGAGAACTCATGAACCACTAGCTACATTCTGCCTTAAGAACAAATGGTGCAACTAAATAAAGGTAAGTTATAAACTAACTAACTAGTAGTAAGTCTCTAGTAAGAACATAGGAACAGCTGGTGCAAATCTACCCTGGACTTTTCTTGGACCCTCCCCAGTCTTCCTTGTTTAACCCAGCTGAATTAACTGGTGTGACCAGTAAGCGAGACATCCAAAAGAATATATATATAATATGAAATATTTAAGGGATACAGTGCAGTTTGTCTGTTAATCTTATTGTAATGTTCATTCATGTCAAATGCAAGATACCTGACAAAATAACAATTTTTGTTCAATGCAGACAGACGTCTTGCTAAGCAGGGAGGCTTTTCTCAAGTAGAAATTAATACAGCTGCAAAAAAGAAACATTGTTTTAAAAGAAAAAACAGAAACTCTGGAGCTATGGAGTCATTTGGGGATTCTCATGGACTGGCAAGGTAACCTGATTCTTTTTGCTTTTGTAATTGTGGAAAGACTGAATTGTTAACTATTGGCAATACTTTTTTATCTGTATTAGATCTGGAATGGAATATTTAATTGCATTTAATGCCCTATATTATACATCTAGGAAATTCAACAGTTCTCTGACACTGAAATCAAGTGAAGAAAATATGGTAAGAGATCAACTTATTAGTCTCAAATTATGTTTCATACATCCAATGGATCTTTAATAAGCCATTCTGCTTTTGTACAGAATGCAGTGTTGTTGTAGTCTCAACATTTCACGCAGACCCACATTCCTGTGGAGCGTTTCTGAAGGTTTAGTAAAGATTTTCCAGACAAAACAGGAAGTAACGTACCTGTAAATGGCTCATCCTTATAAAGACAACATGAGGTTTATTGGCCAAGTAAAATTCCTCTTGCAGCTGGAGGTTGAAGAGTGTTCTGGACATTGTTGTAAGAAGCTTTTAGTGAAGATTTTATGTGTTTTCCCAGGTTCTTATGTATAGACCAACCTCTCCACTCCCAGCAGAGAGAAGTTCTCCACTGTCTGTCTATTCCCTTGAACTTTATACACAACAAACAACCACTAGTAAGGCGGTTACTAATAAATAACAAATTACTACTAACAAATGCTGTTGTCATTCTTGCTTTTGAATACCATACTCAACATTTCATGCTTTCAGAAAATGAACTGATAGAGGAAATCAAGCTACTCAAAGGGCAAAGAAAGGAGCTTGAACAAACAAGGCAAGAGCTTTTGAAAAATGGCAGAGAGCTTTTAGCTCTTAACAGACATCGCAGGAACCAAGGTATAAAGTCCTCTACAATTAAACATGTACACAAATTTGCAATGTAAGTATGTGCCTTTCAGGTTTTGCCAGAGCATTTCAGTGGGGTTACATCTGGACTTACATATATCAATATATATATATATCATTGTCTTTCTGCCCAGCATCAGTTTATGGACAGATGGCTAATATTCTCTAGGAGAATTCTCTGTAACAGAGCTTCACAGCTCTTTTAATAATGACAAGACATTCTGATTCTAATGAGTCCAACCTGATTTCATGAGAGAACAACTATTTTATATTCAATTTCATAGAAATTTGTATATATATACAGTATATATATATATAAGTATAAAGGTCCACCCCTAAAACCTAACCATTAGTGGGGCCTAAGCAGATTGCACAAAAAGATTTGTATCAGATGGTACAAATTCTTATGAATTAGCCACCAGTTTGCTGGTGAAGGTTACAAATTGCTCTTAGACTGTGTTAAAACATCACACTACCACCACTGTTTGTCTATTGCTATGAATTGTATCTATGAAATTCAGCACTGTCTTGCAAACAGAGCGCATGTCTATACCAAAAGGTTCCACTTTTGAGTCATCTGCCCATGAAATATTTTTCCAGAGGTCGAGAGGATCATCCAAGTTCTTCTAAGCAAGCCAGGGACATTTTTGTTTTTCATTGTTCTTTGAAATAAACATTTTATTTGGATATTTTTAGACTGCAGACTTTTTTGAATTTTTATTCTTGTGAAACATGTTTCACCTCAGCACCTGAAAAAGAAAGTGTGGTAACAACCTTTGATTGTATTTTTCTTGGTTTCTGCCGTGCTGCTCTGCCATGGATCCCATTTGTTCCCATCAGTGTCTTTCTGAGGTTAGAGTCATGTGCTCAAACATTAAAGGTCTTCTATCAGCCTAAACACTTTGCAGAGGAAACGGTTACATACTGTACTGCTCAGAGACTAGTAAAGTTCCAATCCAAATGCAGCTTTTATCGGGCCAAACCAGAAACGTAATCTAAAACAGGCAACATGACAATACACAGGCAAGCAATCCAAACAAGCAACAAGGCAGGAAACTCAGGCAAAAGGGTAATCCAAGAGACAGACAAGAAATCCAAAAACCTAGAGACATAAAACCAGGGAGAATGCTCAGAATTGCAGAGTAACAACTGGCAAGACTTCACAATGTGACAGAAAACACAGGAGCTGCGTCCGAAATCGCATACTTCCATACTATATAGTAGGCGAAAAACAGTATGCGAGGCGAGTAGTATGTCCGAATTCATAGTATTCGAAAAACAGTAGGCGAGAAGTACCCGGATGACCTACTACTTCCGCAAACATTGCTGATGTTCGCGCAGTAGTGCGGGCTCTTTCAATTTTGGCGCTCTTGTGAAGACGCATGTCACGTGACAACATCAACATGGCGGATGTAGTACGTCCGAATTCCATTCATACTACTCTCATTCATACTATATAGAACATACTTTTTTAACGGTCGAGTAGTACGTTCACATTCAAATGTAGTACCTACTAAGTAGTATGCGATTTCGGACGCACTGGGTGCTTATATAGGCGGAGGTAACGAGCATCAGGTGAAAACAATCAGGCATGATGAGTCCGGGCAATGGGTTATGGGAAATGCAGTCCAGGATTGAGTGGCAAAGGTATGGGATGGAGTGCCCTCTGGTAGCTACCAAAGGCACTCCAGCTGGTGATCGTGACAGGAAACCATGAAATAGCATAAAGCAGGAGACGAAGTGATTATAAAATGTGAGCATGGTGTATGGAATTATTTAGTTAGTTGCATGTTTCAGTGCACAGACTTAATAATTATGCCAAGCTTTAAACCCTTTTTCGAGTATAAATCAATAAAAAAATCCTTATCCAGTAAATCATGAAAGACTGGAAAAGTCATGTAAATTCATTAGTTAAAAACAGAAAAATTGGTTAAGAATCACTCTTCTATATCCATTATGGGAGTGGGGGAAATTATGCATTTATATGTGTTGTAAATAATCTTAGTTTCATTGGCATGATCGTCACTAGCTGTCTTTTTTTCCTCTGTGCAGATTTGGCCATTTTGTGGCATTATTGCACGTCAAAAATATTCATGCAAGGAATACAATCTATAGCAAAAAGTTTGTCTCATTCCAACTAAAACTTTGATTCTGAGAGTTGGAGAGTCTACTGTTGAATTTTAATGCTTTAAGATTTTCGTATGGGTTATTTTAGGATTTCAGGCTCTCTTTAATGTGTCAGATTTTTTGTGATTATGAAATGGGTATTAGGTTATGGTGTATGAAAGATTTTATTTTTTATTTTTTTCGTTTGCCTCTGAAGCACGTGACCGGTGGAAGAGGCAATATTTTGATACTAAGAAGGCAACAACACTTCTGGAGGACACACTGAAGAGTGTACGACTGGAACTTCACACCTTCTACAGTAAAATGCTACAACAACTCCAAGCCCGGGATGGTGCAAAACGACGAACGCAAGCAAAGAAACATTCAAGCACAAAGTTAAAGGTAGTGTAAACTATGATTCTTTACTCATTTTTCAGTAAAATAATTGCCTAATCTTATAGAACTCCTCAGCACGGAAGTAACTGTGTATTTCTTTCTTTCTAAATATAATATTTTCATACATTAAAACAAAAACATTGTGCTTTGCCATTTACAGAATGAGTTGATAATCCAGATTATGACAGAGAGCAGTGAAATTGATAATCTGAGGAAAAATGTGGATGATGCTAAAATGAAACTGGCTACAGAGATCAAGGTACTGAACAGACATGCACTGGTTAGTTCTACTGGTTAGTTCTGCTGGTTAGTTTCAGCACTTGTGATGTTTTTTCTTTCTTTCTTTCTTTTGTCTAGTTGAGAAAGCAAGCTGCCACAGAACTACAGGCCCTGAAAGCAGAACTGATGCAAAAGAGAGCTCAGTTATAAAGAAACACAGAATACATGTCTATGTGCTCAGCATTAGGTTTCGTAGAAATTAGATTTGAAATGTGTTTGTATTGTCCGTATCTCAGAAGATCAAAGTGTCTGAGGTTCTTAAAGACTTACAGGAACACAATACGTGAATATGTTCTCTAAATGTAATTGTTTAGTGCAGGGGTTCCCAACCACATTTCCAACCCACAACCAGGATACCTTTGGCAATATTACAAATGCATTAAGTCCAAACATGATGGAAAAAGATCAAACTGTCATGCATGCATTCATTTGTCCATTAACAGCTGTGTTTGTGTTACACTACACATAGCTATTATTGAGAATACTTATTCTTCTGAATAAGTATGAGATGGGTGTGTTGTAGTTCGTTCCAGTTTTAATGTTTGAAAACAGTTATGCATCTGGAGGTCCCAAGGAATTTGTATGGCGGTCACAGGACACAACTATAGGAATCAGTCTCTAGATGGGTGAAGGGCAGAAACTGCATGTGGACCAATGGGATGTTAGTCTGTCCTTCCCGGGCTTGGAACCAGAGGTCTTCTTCTTGCCCTCTAAGAAGTGTTTGGCCATTGTCCTAGCATTTCTATCTGATGGCAGACAGTTTATTTGTGTTCGTCCACCAAGATCCAATCAAAATGTAGCAAACCTTTGTCCACTGTTGTGGTCAGAGGGGCCCCACCATAAAACTGGGCTCTGGAATGTGCTGTTCACCACATTAGAGAGCACTCTGTCCCAACCACAAGAATATGGAAATACCACCTAATCACACTGCAAAAAAAAAATTATGTTGTTCCTCGGTATTTCATTTTACAGTGCAAATGTCTAAAGATTCCTAAATCAAGATACAGTGAAGATCAAAATTAGAGAACAGCCTACAATTTCCTAAATTTCAAGGTCACTGCTTAGTCCTATTTGATGTTATCCTAACAGGAGTAGAAGGCAAGTTTTTTTAAGCATTTTTCATAAATTAATTGTATTCCGAAGCACAGCATAAAAAAATTACACGATATTTGAAAAAGAACCTGGTGCTAATTTCCTTAATTATATGACAAACCCTATTAAACTGGCAGCATTCCTCTAATTATCACTGATTTTGCAAGATGGCGGGCCGCTCTAAGGAGACTGTAACCTTGCAACAGCAGTTTGTCCAGATGAAGGCCAACGAGATGACCCTTTCAGCCATAGCAAGAGAAGTTGGTCATTCCAAATCTGTGATTTCTAGAATATTGCAGCTTTACAATGACACAAATTCATTCAAGTCCCCCAAAAAGGCTGGTCGTCCAAGTAAAAGACAAATAAACGAGTAAGACAAATAACCGAGAAGACAGGTTAATGTGGAGACTCTCAATGGGGAATCGGTTCAACACTGCAGCTGGAATTGCTCTTTAGTTCAGTGATGAACAAGGTATGGATTTGTCTCGGCACGTTTAAGAGAAGTCGGACTGAAAGTGCACTCGGCAGTGACAAAGCCTCTCATCAGCAGAAAGAATCAGAAGGCTAGACTAACCTTTGCTGAGGAGCATGTTGTGTGGAGAGAGGAGAACTGGTCCAAAGTTCACTTTAGTAATGAGAGCAAGTTTAATTTATTTGGGTCTGATGGGAAACATTATGTTCGATGTCAAACTGGGGAAAGACTGAACCCAGAGTGCGTAAAGAAGTCAGTGAAAGGTGGAGGTGGCCACTTATACAGATACATGGCAGGGTGAATGCAAATGTTTATCAGAACCTCCTGTGACAACATGCGGTTCCTTCCCTGTATTCATTGCCTAATCAGCCAGCAGTTTCCATGCAGGACAATGCCATTGTCACACTGCAAAATGGGTAAGGCTTTCTTGAAGCTGAAAACATTCAAATAATGAAATGGCCGGCCCAGAGTCCAGATATAAACCCAACCGAAAATCCTTGGCAACAAAGTTGTCTAAGAAACCCACTTAGTCACCGAACTGTGGAAGAAACTGGAAGAAGAGTGGCCAAGATCACACCAGAGCAGTGTAAGAGACTAGCGATGTCCTGCAGCCGTAGATGTGCTGAAGTCATTCAAAGCAAGGGCCTGTTCACTTCCTACTATAATTTTTGACTGCTGTAACCTTCAGACATTTTTGTTGTGATTGTAGGCTACAATCACAACAAAAATGTCTGAAGGTTACAGCAGTCAAAAATTTGTAGGAAGTGAATGACTTTGAATGACTTCAGCACATCTACGGCCGCAGTACATCGCTAGTCTCTTACACTGCTCTGGAATCTTTCTTCATGCTACAATCATTGCTGTTCTCAGATTTTGCTCACTGTGTTTTCCACAAAATAAAGGGTTTTTGTTGAAGTGCCTTGGTTATTTTGTAAAACACTGTTCTACTAGCATGGTTTAGCCGCAACTAAAATTCCTTCAAATTTTGAACGATGAAGATAAAAAAAAATCAATTGTTCATACATTTTTCTCTAATTTTGATCTCCCCTGTGAAACTGATCAAAATTAAGTGAGTTTATGATTAAAACAGAAACAAATATCTGCCAGTGGACTTAGAAAACTTAACTTAATTCAAAGAGAAAACACGTTTTCATACCTCACTGACAGACATTAGTTCTTGTTTTAAGAATAAATTTGCTTAATTTTGTTCAATTTCTCAGAAAACAAGACTTCAGCTATCTTCATTTTGCATCTCAAGTAAATGTATCTTGATTTAAGGATGTTTAGATATCTGAATTGGAAAACAAGACAAAAATACTGAGGAAGTTTTTTTTCTGCTCTCTGCTCTGATTGGAACGACTAATTACCTTTTAAAACCTGCAGAACCCTGCCTTATGCTGATTTAGAATCATCATATGCAGTATTGAACAGCAAATTATGGTCATGCAAATGATTACATTTAGAAAATGTGGCAATGTCAATTAATGTTCAATTAAATAAAAAGGTTTTAGGCTTGCTGAAATGGAGTGTGCCATTTATTCAGTTTGTGATAAGACGGCAGCAGACTCCCTGTGTTCACTGGGTGTAAGGGCATTCCACATGTCCACCGTTCTTTGCTGGGCGATTGGATCACTACTGTAGTCCAGGAGATTTCCGTTCCACATTCCCATTCCTTTCAGGCCACGCTGTGCCACATAGGCAGCTTTCAGAGCAATGCTTTCAGGGTCATCATACCACACCTGATGGACCCTGCCTTCTGTGTCCTGTAAATAAAATCTTATTCATTTTAGGGAAAAGATAACATGTCTAACAGTGAAACTGTCCACTTGAAAATGTTGTTTTTACTAGTGTATTTTAGCAGGTATTCAACTTTTGATAAGACACATACAGAACTGATACAGTACCTTGTAATTATAATATGGAGCTCGCTGGTTCTCATCCCACAGTCTTCCTGATATTGAGCTGTTGATCTGTTTCATCATGATGCTGTAGGGAATTTGTTTGCCGGATGCATCGCTACATGGAGCCCCTCTGAACGGTACTTTTGGAATTGTACATATTCCTTCCTGTTATAATAACAAACAGAGTGCCAAACAGCATAACAGTTTTAAAAAACATAATTGATCTATTCTATTGACTACCCAACTCAACCAAATTTACATACCATTAGCTTACTGTTGTACTATGACAATGAACCAGAGATTCATTGTTATTACTCCTGTGCATTAATGTGTATTTGTTTAGTCAAGGTTCAGATAAGCATCATAGTCCATTCCTTTTTTCTTTTTTCTTTTTTTTGTCCAATTGCAGGCAATTGCTTACTGTATGTTTGTGTGGAAATATTCTGTGTATGGTCTATTGAAAGCACACAATTTAAAGTATTGTATTATGAGGTATTGTATGAATATGCCAAAATGTTTCCCAACAGAAAATATATGACCAGAAATGGAATTAACAGATCTGATGACAAAAACTTTGACATGGAGAAACTGTGAAATGTAAAGGTTTAATCAGATTTAATGCAATATTAAGCACCAGCTTAATGATGATATCTTGCCAGAAAAGCTTGGGTACCCACTCTGATGTGTCATGAGAAGATTCATGTGGGAAATATATCCAGAAAGACAAATGAGCATGATTAGTTTACATTTGCTTTTCCAAAGTTTGCATACACAATGATTGACAGTGTTTGTATGTTGGATCTGGCCATAATCATAATCATTTGTGCAAGACTACAAAATAGTAAGTTGTATAAGCTAGGTTGTAAAAAAAAACTTTCAACCCAAACCTAAACCTCACCATTAACAATAAACTATAAATGTCATACATATTTGTATAATCCAAGTTTTGTACAATTTCATACAATTTCACCAACAATGGTGAAAGAAATCGCAAACGCTGCAGGGGCAGAAGATGATATGGTGCCAAAACAAGAAAGGTTGTTTGGGAGTATTTGGGTTTTACATGTTAAGACCATATTCAAAGAGAAATGGCTACTCAGAGCGGAAAAGCCTTCTTGCCAAAGCAGGTTCTTTGCCAGCTTTGTTCAGAAGGCCTAGTTTTTCAAATTGATGTGTAACTATGTAGGCATTCTGGGGGAAAAAAGAAAAGAGCCTATGCGGGAGTGAGGGGAAGTATTTAAATTATGTAAAAGATAAAATGGGAAAGGGTTCATTTGCAATAACAACCTGCCGGCTATACATTGTCCTGCTTAGTATACAGCTATTTGCCACATAAATAATTACACACAAAATATTGATTTAAACTCTGAAATATTTTATTAGCTCAGTTGTAATAAACTTCTGCTTTTTGAGTACATATATGCAATAGACTAAATAATGTGTCTTTTAATATAAAATAACTGCAAATTGACTTATTGATTTGACACATTAATTAGTTTATTGCACTGCATATCAGATTTTCTTCCATATCGGACAACTCTAGTGCTGCATGTCATTTTAAATTACAGTGGGTACGGAAAGTATTCAGACCCCCTTCAATTTTTCAAAAATACTGAAAAATGGTTTACCTTTGTGAAATTAAGGCAGCTGTAGTCATAACCATACCATGGAACACCCATCACAAGTTTCTTTGGCTCTATGTTCATGCTGATGTATTGATCATAGGCTGAAAAACATGTCTAAACCTTAGGTGTGCATTATTATACAATGGTTTGTAACATGAAAACAGGCATTATTAATAATGTTATGGTCTAACCAACTGTTGTTCAATTAACATAATCCAAAGAGTGGGGTTCAAAAGTTATATAAATATGTGGTGATGACGGCATACAGGGAAGGGATATTTTGGAAATGTCATCAAGGAAGACATGTCAGATTTGACATTTGTGTCAAAGGGCAAACTATGTAGAACACCCGTACAAAAGCAGGGTTCAATAACAAAAGCTCTTAAGTGCAAAGTAATTTTTTTTAATGCCTTGCAAGATGATACTGTCAAAAAAAGTGAGTTTTTATTTTATTTTTTCAAGAAATCACTTACCTGTCAATGTCTGATTGAACGGGGCATTTGCCATGGCAATACAATCACCCCAGATCTGGCTTTGCTCATCATAGGACATAACAAACAAGAGATCGCATGACTGTGCAATGGCAAGGTAGTCATAGCAACGCTTATCAATGCATTTGGGCGACCAAGCCACATCAAATGATACCTGTGATTCAAGATAAGAAGACAATACGTCAAGGGCTTTTAAAGTAGCTATACCACACAGTTTCCAGTGATATGCTGTTTTACCTGAGAGCCTGGGATCTCTGTGTGGAAATTTTCAGTGGTTTCCTTGACAAGGGCTGTCAAAGCATAGTATTCAGGGGATCCGGTCTCCACTGCCTGCTCAACGTCGATGTTTATTCCATCCATGAACCGACTCTTTGCCAACTGGACTTTTTCCTGAATC